ACATGGAGAGCGCTGTGATGAACGTCACCAGGTTGGCCGAGCATACGATGATCAGTGTCAAGGCTGTTATAGCGGGAAAATGTATTTTAATTCCATTTTTTTAATAAAATGATTAGTATTCTGTCAAAAATTGCCAAATATTATCAAGTTTCAACGAACATAAATAACTAATCTAATAATAGATAAATCAAAACCGACATATTCGTCATGTTTATAAGTTACGAACAGCGCAGAAGTTTTCAAAATGTTTTCAAGTATTGAAAAAATCCAGGATTTATCAGTTATTTATGAGATTCGTTAACGCTGCGCTAATTTGAATAGATGATTAATAGTCCTTAGAAAATACTTTATCATTAGATTGTACACAATTAATAATTAACCGTTCAGCTAGCCGCGTGTATATCATTTCGTCTTAAGAGTTGCACAGGTTAACAGCGCCGACAAATTTCACTGAAAAATTTTCAAGCATCACCAATATATCTTTCTAAAAAATCTTAACAAATCAATATGGCGTGTAACTTCAATGTTTAATTTCAAAAGTAAATTGTTGGAGATTCCGTGAGCTGGATATTCATTTCTGAAAAAAAACATGTAACTATGAAGTATCTGAATACTTCCTGCCAAGCTGACCACATGTGGCTTGATCCGATGGACCAAATCAGAAATTTCACTTAATTGAGCGAAGAAAACATTCAGCGAAAAACAATGGGCACTGATACATTTTATTTCCGGAATTCAATAGCGCTCGGTATCTTTATCACATTCTACGTACCGTAGGCGCGGTATCGTTAGTAGATTCTACTCGTGTTGTGGATTATTTTTAATAAACTCTACGTATCATTGACGCGGTATCTTTAATGCATTTCACGTGTCATTAACTCGGTATTTTTAATACAATCAATTAATATTGAGAGTTCTCTTCAATACGAATACCACCTTCTTATCGTAGGCGAGGTATCTTTGATATGATCTTCTTATATTAGGGGCGGTGTCTCTAATACTCTTTTCTTATGTTATGTTCTCTACACTTACAGAGTCCAGCCTGTCCCACGACCCAGGAGATCCTCAGGAACAGCATCACGCCCCAGATGTTCAGCATGCACGGCATCTGCGGCCACAACACATCATTAACATTCAATATAATTGGTTAATATAGTTAAACTATTAGATTTGGTTGTTATAGTTAAACTATTAAATTTGGTTGCTATAGTTAAACTAATAGATTTGGTTGTTATAGTTAAACTATTAAATTTGGTTGCTATAGTTAAACTAATAGATTTGGTTGTTATAGTTAAACTATTAAATTTGGTTGCTATAGTTAAACTAATAGATTTGGTTGTTATAGTTAAACTATTAANACCTTTACTCATGACCCACTTTACTCATGACCCACTTTACTCATGACTCACCATTACTCATGACCCACTTTACTCTTGACCCACTTTGCTCATGACCCACTTTACTCATGACCCACTTTACTCATGACCCACTTTACTCATGACCCACTTTACTCATGACTCACCAGCACGCCTTTCATCCATCCCAGCTTGACTTTGCCGGTGGGCTCCTTGTCGAGCGCCTCCTCTGCACCGTGGGGCGTGGCCTGGGGACAACACAGAGATAAGGATAACAATCTGAGGATAACAGAGAGATATAACGGCTGTAACACAGCGATAACAATGTGATGATGACACAGCGATAACAATGTGATGAGAGCACAGCGATAATGTGATGAGAACGCAGCAATAACAACGTGATAAGACAGCAATAACAACGTGATAAGACAACAATAGCAATGTGATATGACAACAATAACAATATGATGAGAATACAACGATGACAATGTGATGAGAACACAGCGATAACAACGTGATAAGACAGCGATAACAACGTGATAAGACAACGATAACAATGTGATGAGAATACAGCGATAACAATGTGATGAGAACACAGCGATAACAATGTGATGATAACACAGCGATAGCAAAGTGTTGAGAACACAATGATAACAATGTGATGAGAACACAGCGATAACCATGTGATGATAACACAGCGATAACAATGTGATAACACAGCGATAACCATGTGATGATAACACAGCGATAACAAAGTGATGATAACACTGCGATAACAATGTGATGATAACACAGCGATAACAAAGTGATGAGAACACAACGATAGTAATGTGATGATAACACAGCGATAGCAATGTGATGATAACACAGCGATAAAAATGTGATGACAACACGGCGATAACAATGTGATGATAAAACAGCGATAACAATGAGATGATCACACAGCGATAACAATGTGATGAAAACACAGCGATAACAATGTGATGATAACATAGTGATAATAATGTGATGATAACACAGCGATAACAATGTGATCATAACACAGCGATAACAATGTGATGAAAAACACAGCGAAAACAATGTGATTATGACTCAGCAATAACAATGTGATGATAATACAGCGATATCAATGTGACGAAAACACAGCGAAATCAATGTGATTATGACACAACGATAACAATGTGATGAGAACACAGCGATAAAAATGTGATGATAAAACAGCGATAACAATGTGATGAAAACACAGCGAAAACAATGTGATTATGACACAGCGATAACAATGTGATGATAACACGGCGATAACAATGTGATGAAAACACAGCGAAAACAAGGTGATTATGACACAACAATAACAATGGGATGATAACACAGCGATAACAATGTGATGATAACACGGCGATAACAATGTGATGATAACACAGCGATAACAATGAGATGAGAACAAAACGATAACAATGTGATGAGAACACAGCGATAACAATGTGATGAGAACACAGCGATAGCAATGTGATGATAACACAGAGATAACAATGTGATGAGAACACAGAGATAACAAAGGGATGAGGACACAGTGAGAACAATGTGATTATGACATAGTGAAAACTATGCGATTATGACACAGAGATAACAATGTGATGAGAACAGAGAGATAACAATGGGATGATGACACAGTGAGAACAATGTGATAGTTACACAGAGATAACAATGTGATGATAATTCAGTGCGAAAACAACTGGCATTAGCGACATTGAGATTGTTATCGATGTCTACTCTGCTGTTAGTTGCAGCCTGACAAAAATTAAGCAAATTATCACGAAATTCGTGGCAAGGGCGCAAGATATGCTGAAATTGACTGAAATTTCACAATCAATACAACAGGCGGCGGTGAATCAGACGCTCGGAATGTCAACGTCGCGACGATCGCACGAACGAACAATACGCTAGATCACTGCGCTAGAATGCTGGGCTGAGAGATTGGGCTAGAAAACAGCGCTAGAACA